TGTGTTTAACAGGTTGGTTAGGATCTGGTAATCTAGTAACTGAAGGAAATTCTTTTAAAATTTTGTGATATGGTGTATCACTAAATACAGTTTTTACTGAATAAATGCTTGCATTTTTCATGCAACCGACGGTTTTAAAATGCGTTTTTAAATCTTTGAGACATTTGTTTCTGAGATCAGGCACCAATTCAAAGAAATGGAGAAAATCTGCTCCAAGAATGGGTGTACTAACATTTGCTATAAGTCCAGGTAAACTGTCGTCTTAATTTGAAATCCAAAGAAAGTGTTTTTTGACCATAAACATGAATAGTAGAAGAATTAGCAGCGAAAAGTGTTTGTTGGGACGAATTCCGTTTTTGAGAATTATTTGCTAGAAGTAAGGACACGTCAGAGCCGGTATCGACCAAGAATGAAAGGTTTGTTCTACGGTCACGAACGAACAGGCGACGTGAAACTTGAGGCAAAGAATAAGTCGCCTCTATTCTTTGCTGGTTTCGTTTCCCTGCCATGAACAAGGTTTTGTACATTTGTCATCTCTACACTTTTTCCCAAAATGTCTATGATACCAGCAAACAGAATAATCTCTCCTTTTGGAATTGCTTCTTTCCTTATTGCGATCTCCGCGATTTGGTGAGCGACCACGAGAAAGAGAAATGCGATCAATACGTTTGTTTAATTTTTCTATTTGTTTAAATAATTTATCCTCAAGAGACTGATCGACTGTGCGAGAAACGGCACAAGTCCGGGGTTGGATTTACTTCTAAAATTCTGTCGGCAATTTCTGCAGCTTTATCTACAGTTAAATTGGAAACCGCTGCCAAAGTAGACTGAACAGTCGAAGGCAAACGTTGAAGGAATAATTCTAACATTAAGTTATCAGGAACATTTAAAGATTCTGCTTGACGTTTCATATTTCTAAGCAAATCGGAAGGTTTTCAAGAACCTAATTCTTCTCCAGATAATAATTGGCGAATTTCTTGCTGAGAAGATTCTTCCTGAACGATTTATTAACTCAGTTTTGAGCTTTGTATATGGATCAATAGGGATCTGGTTTCATAAGTAAATCCCACACTAGTGATGCAATATCTGGAGGAAGATGAGCAACTACATAATTATATTTAGTAATGGATTCTGTGATAGGTTTGGGGGTGGCAAGAGCAAAGGTACTTTCACACATAATAAACCATAAAGATGGGTCTGATTCGGTTATAAACCGCGGAATTTGGACGGCATGAACATCAGACATTGTGCAAGGTTTTTAAGCCAAAAATAAAAGCAAAAATTTAACTAAAGAAAATGAAATTAAATGATAAGTAGAAAACAGAATTATAAAATGATCTATAATTACTACTCATCTGTGATCCGGAGGATGAAAACCGATGTAATCCATTACTTCTGGTTTGGAGATCTGAGTGATGGCTTGTAGTCAAAACCGAAAGTGCTTGAGAACTGTTCATACGATTTAACACAGTCCGGGTTACCATTATTGGTGATTTCCTGTTATGTTTTTACCACCAATCCTCGAATTCCATATCACAGATTATGTTCTTACTGCATTAATATAAATATTAACAAGACATAGTGCACAATAAAAATTAAGCTTTATTTAGGAACTTCGCGCACACTGCCCGACAGCCTGCCTGTTTCGCTCTGCTCGCTACTCGTAAGAAACTTCTCCTCTAGGGTTGCCACACTTATCGGAGGGCGCAAGGCGCGCTCCTTATCGCCATCACCACAAACTATCTGGTATATGTGGTGCTGACATATTTATCATTATAAATAACATCTATAGTGAAATGCAAACATTTCCAAACGGTAATGTAAAAGGTCGTACCTTAATTTCACCACAGGCAGATGAACTTAATCCATAGGATTAATATGATTAAGATTTTGTTATAATTTAGTTATTAAGATGAACTTAATAACTAAATTATAACAAAAGTGAAAAAAAATATATATCTATTTATAGAAGATGCTGGAAATGACTACTTTTCTTTTTTGGGGGTAGTAGATCGTTATGAATTTGTAATAACACGCATATATTTCTTATGATGCTAGAAGTTTTTTCACCACTTTATTCAAATTTTAATCTGTTAACTGGGTATGACGAAATTTTTCGTCATGCTGGGAAGACTATTTCAATGCGTATGACGAAATGTTTCGTCATGCTGGGAAGACTATTTCAATGCGTATGACGAAATTTTCGTCATGCTGGGAAGACTATTTCAATGCGTATGACGAAATGTTTCGTCATGCTGGGAAGACTATTTCAATGCGTATGACGAAATGTTTCGTCATGCTGGGAAGACTATTTCAATGGGCATGACGAAATTTTTCTTGCAATCTGTCACTTGACCGTTGTTCAAGAAAAATCGATCAATGGAAACACTTGTCCGCTCATAAATTGTGCCTAATTTGCACAACTAATTTTTAATTCATTTTAGTCTGCATTTCAGTATTTTACATATTAGTAATAACTTGTTGATTTGAGTAATTGTTAGTTTTTTATAAATATGGCTAAAAATTATTGTGAAGCAGAAAATATTTTTGAATTGTCTGAAAGTGACGATGAAATATTGCCCGGGAGGTTTGGTAAACGACGTCGAATTCTAAGAATAAGTACCAGTTCGGAAGAGAAGAAAGCGATAACGACTTCTTTACTGATGGTCCGGACATTGAATCAAAGGATGATGATGTTATAGACCAAAATACTCAACCGACATCAGCTGAATGGAAATGTGAAAGAATATTGCGATCGCCTTTCTTTCCGTTTTTATCTCAATCTAGACTTACATTTGAAGGACCTGAAGAAAAGGATTGCCTTTTTTTATTTCGAGAAATTTATCGATGAGAATTTTGTAGAACTTATTGTGGAACAATCAAACAAATACGCCGGACAGTTTTTTGAAAAAAATACTTCCATGAAACGCGTTCAAGATGTCTCTCGTGGGTTGACACAGATGACCGAGAGATGAGAGTATTTATTTTTTTACTAATTTTGCAAGGAATAATAGGAAAACCTTCTTATCAGCTTTATTTCACAAAGCGAGAAAGTCTGGAGACTCCATTTTTTTATAAAATTATGTCAGAAAAAAGATTCCAACTGTTAGTAAAATTTTTACATTTTAGTGATAACAATGCTTTCGATCTAAAAGTGTGCAACAAAAAAAACCTACAAAATCGATTCCATTTTGAACTATTTGAGAAACAAATTCAAGGTGTTATACGTACCAGATAAGGAAATATCTGTAGATGAGTCTCTTTTGCTATGGAAAGGAAGACTGTCTTGGAAACAGTACATTCCATCGAAAAGAAGTCGATTTGGTGTTAAATTGTATAAGATATGTGAAAGTAAATCCGGATACATAAGTGATTTCATTATATATACAGGTAAAGACACGCAGTATGGTTCGAACTATCCAGAAGAACAGGGACCAAATCGTATTGTTCTTGAATTGTGCCACGATTTGTTGGATAAGGGATATACGCTATATCTCGATAATTGGTATACTAGTACTGATCTAGCTGAGAAGATGTGCAGAAGAAAAACCGATGTTGTAGGAACAATGCGAAAAAATAGAAAGGGAATACCATCTGATATCAAAAATTGTGTTTTGAAAAAAGATGAACATATTGCTAGGTACAGAGACAAAATAATGATTATGAAGTGGAAAGACAAAAAGGATGTAATTATATTGAGTACTATCCACGACAATAAATTTGTAGAAATAGAAAAACGAAGGAAGGAAAACGATATCAAAACCGGAAGTTATCGCTGACTACAACAAAAATATGGGAGGAGTTGATCTTGCTGACGGACAAATGAAAACTTATGAAATCGCTAGAAACCAAGTAAAAAAGTATTACTATAAGATATTTTTACATGCACTAGACATGGTGGGTTTGAATGCATATCTTTTATACAAGAAAGATGGCGGTCACCTAGATAGGCTTCATTTCCTTATCGAAACTGTAGAAAAAGGTGTTGAAAAATATAGAGACGGATCGCAGTTGCCATCTACTAGTACAGGACGATCATCTTTGACACCAAAACCATCTCGACTCTTTGAAAGACATTTTGCAGACTATATACCATCCGACTCTTCAAGAGTAAATGTAACGAGGAGATGCAAATTATGCTATTCCAAAGGTCTTAGGAAAGAATCGAGATTTTGGTGTCCCGACTGCAGTGTTGCTTTGTGTATGCCGCATTGCTTTAGGGAATATCATACGAAATAATTGTTTAAATTCGTTCGTTCAATTAATTTGTTTTTCCGGATTAAAAATGTTTAATTTTAATATTTAATATCATTAAATATTTTAAAACGATTTTCTTTTATTTATTCCTTGCGATGTGCTGAAATTACTGCAAAGGAAAAAGTCCCCATTGTGAAACGATTTTACTGAAAGCTTATTCCCCAGTTAACGTTAACGATTTCTTTCGTTCCTTCCTGTGTTGGTTTCCTGTAATGCAAGCTTTACAGGCGACTTTCCCAATAGCGTATTTACTTTTCTGTTGATAATAATCACATGAAAACCTCAAGAATTTATAAATTGCACTATTTTCTCTCTCATAGTGTTTCACTTGGCAGTAATGAATTTCAGTATTATTTATTTTCATTATAAGTTTATGTTTACAGTCTTGGAAGTTTTTTTTTAATTTATATATATATTTTTTTATTTAGATATCGGATAATATTTTCAACTGAATTACAGAAATTATATTATCTTTTGCCAGTAATCTTTTCTATGATTTAAAAAATGCAAATATCAAAATTAAAAGGTTATTATTCTGAAGGAAATTATTATTATGTACTTTAAATGAAATAAATGTAGTTTCATTGTGAAAGAATAAATATAATATTTGCCTGGATAGCTTTGCAAGGAAATTTAATAGATAATTTTTGTTTATTGAATTAATCATTAAAAATATTTTATAACATATTATATAATGCCTTCTAATCTTATGTTTATGTTTACTTATAAATTTATTTATACAGAGCTGTAAAAAATTCAGGTGATTATGAAGCAAGGTCTGAAATGCACTTGGCTAGTACCTTTGCTGGTATAGGATTTGGAAATGCTGGAGTACATTTATGGTAAACTAATGTGTTGATCATTTATATAAAATTTCTATAAATAATTAGTTATATAGTTTTCATTTTGCAACAACATTTTACTTTAATTGTAAAAAATGCAGAGCTTGTTATCTGCTTTATTTTTTATATCTCAAATTGAAACTAGTAAAAAAATAATGCGAAAAGCAAATGAAAATAATAAAATGCTGTGTATAACATCATCGCTTTTATTTAATCTGCCAAAGCTATTTTTTATGAAAATAAAATTTTTTTTAATTAATTTAAACCTATTTACAAGATCTAAGTTTAAAAATTTTATTGAATGTAAATTTTAATGTACTATAATATCTGGAATCTTAAAAAATTGTTGTTGTGAATATCAGTATCAAAGTACAATGCTTCCAGCTGTGTAATGTTGTAATTGATCTGATGCATAATTATATTTAGTGCTAAAATCTTTCTCAAAGGGTATGTTGGAGGAAAGGGTGAAAGAGGAGACCAGTTGTCTCGCTGCCACAAAAAAATCTTTGTTGAGTGAAAAATATATCAAGGATTACTGAAGTAATTTAGACTTCTAATGAAATGGGATTCTATCAGAGGTAGCAAACATAATTGTTACATCAAGAGATAAATGCAATGAAATGTCTTAAAATAAAGTAACCTTTAAATAAATGTAAAATGAGAAATATAATAAGTTACAGAATTGGGGATGTTATTGATCATCAAAGAAATAGTAATTTAATACTTTTGTCCATTTTCTTTGAAATCTGAAATGCAAAGTCCTTGTGTTAATATTTTTCTATTAAACAGAATAAACCTTTTTATTTAACAATCTTTATTAATCTTATTTAATCTTATTACTTAATCTTAAACTTATTACTTAAATCTTTATTAATCTTATTACAAATAATCTTATTTAATATGTAGCTTACAAAAGCTTATTTGTTTTAGTCATGGAATGTCATATCCAATATCTGGTTTAGTGAAGGAATACAAAGCCTCAGAATACAAATGTAGCTATCCTATTATAGTAAGTCAATTCTTCTTTATTTTATGATTTCAAATTGTCTAACAAAAGTCACTGTTATCTGGCTAACTTATTGAAGCTACAAACGTTAATGATTGGCACAGTTATATGTTTGAAAGGAACTGTCATTAATGATTTGTTTTTGGAATTTCAAAATCAAATCAAATATTTAGACTGCCATTAATGATCACTTATGCATATTGCATCATGTAATTAAACAACCTTTAGGTTAAATTGGAAAAAAAAAAAAAAATGCTTAAATTTTAAAATGTAGAAATATTGACTTGAACGAAAATTTGGTTTAGAGACTCATGGTAAGATAATTTGATAAGATAACAACAATAAAAAAAAAATAAATAAATAAATAAATAAATAAAAAGAAGAAGAATTAATATTTAAATAAAAATTTGTCCTCAAATTAAGAATTATTGTCATTGTGGAAAAGCAGAATGTATTAAACCACATGTTTTAAACTGAAAAGCTAGTTAATTATTAAACTGTATTATTAAAGCAAATTATTCAATCATATTGATAAATTATAAAATGCTAAGTTAATTATTAAATTAAATCATTAAAGAAAATTATGGAATATCTGAATTCAAGCTCATCTGGAGTTGAAAGTGTAGTAGTTTCAAAAGTTTTCAGCATAGTCAGCTAGAATAATTCAGTATCTTAACAGAAAACTTAATCTGCAAGGAAACAAAGTGTAAGAATTCAAGAGGATTTATTTTGATTTGTTGTAGTTTTTAATCAGATCTTTCAGATTTACTGTATATATGTGTGTGTATAATTTTTATTTGGTAATAAATATTGCATTTTTTTGCTAGTCTTTTATGAATAACCAACATACCATTAATAGTTTGTGAATGATTCTCTATTTTGATGAAAATTCATTTTAATTCTTTTAAAATCTATGAATTTACTATCCAAAATTTATAAATCATAGTTACTAAACAACAATGAATCAATTTTTATCAATACTTTACTTTCTGAATAATAACCACTGCTATATAAGTGTTGCTGATGCACCCCATACCCCACTGTCAAGAAAGCAGATATCAGAGCACTGCAGGCCATGGCTCGCTTTGGACTGTTGTGCCATTTAGTTTAGTATATAAATGTCCTGAGTGTGGACATAAAATATTATATTTACTCAAATATTTCTTCTCTTTTTGTTCTAATTTTACCATACAAAAATTGAGAGGGGAATTTCTAAACGACATGGTTACTGTAAGAATATAACAAATAAAAAATAATCATGGGTAGACTATCACAATATTATTTATTTAAAAGAAACCCACATTCTAATATTTCTACTTCTTGTATCTTTTTTCGCCTGCTTCTAACATTGTCCACTGCTAATCCCTAGGCCTCATATCATTTAATGCTGCTGGAACTATTGCCTGTATAATCTGCTAAAGTTTGCAAATTTTTACAGTGTGCAACTATCATTTTCATTCAGTGTTTCTTCCCTCATGTAGCAATCTTCAGAACCATCATGAGCAGTAGACCCCATATTTTTTAAACTCTTTACCATTATTGCTTCATCAATCAGAGCCCATGCACCAATACCCATCAGCAAATCAGTTAATAAGATGAAAACGACAACTATAGGGATGAATTCATTTTAAAAGTTAGGAAAACCAGCTTTCTAAACATCTTTGAAAAAGGGGAAAATTACATGAATACTTAAAAAATTTTAGAACTTTGTGCTAATAAACGATTACATATGGTATATAAGTACATATAGAATATCTATTATGCACAACACAAGAATACTTGTATAGTAGTGTTTTATTTCAGTACATTATCTGGCAGGGAATTCTGATTTTTATAGAACCATCTAAAGACTAAAACATTTTTTACTAGAATTTTTTTCTGAATTGCAGTAATTGAACTTATACTAAAACTAAAAGAGCAGTTTTTTTTTTTTTTTTTTCCCAGCCTTATATTAAGAATAGGTGAATGAAAACTTTACATAGGGCTGAGAACAGCATACAAAAATTAAATAAAAAATTCAGATGAATTTGTTTTTTAGCTCAAAAAGTGCTATGGATCTTGAAAGTAGATTTTGTGTTGGTTCACTATAAATGGCATATTACTTCTCAAATTCTTGCCACCAAATATTATTGACCTGTATTATTTTAAAGAAATTAAATAATGAAGAGTCTGCTTATAGTATACAGTACAAAGTCTTTAATTTGGACTCGTTGGGACTTTGGCGATTCTGGATTAGGGGTTTTTCCGGATTATAGATCATCAATTTAAATCTGGTAAGATAGCATGCAGAAATTACAAAATTAATGTCGATTTCAAAGTATGATTTTAAAGTATGGGATCACTGGTATAATTTTAAATCCAGAAAATATCACTCAATTTTAAAGAAAGTGATGAAGAGGTTTTTGAGAGTGAAAAGATTTCATTTGACACTTTAACAGGAACTCGCAACATGGCAATTACAGGCCTTAAAACAATGGAACTTTGTAACTAAACAAGAAGTTATATCTATAAATAAAATTAAAGGGAGAGTATTAGCACAAAAATCTGAACATCTTACATTGAAAAAAATACTTAAGGAAACAAACCTATAAATATTAAGCTTCTTTTTATAAATTTTGTTTCCCTTAGAATCATAAATGCTTCATTTTTTCACAACTAACTATTTAAAATTTTTAACTTTATACAGTCAAAAGTCTTTAATCCGGACTCATCGGGACTTCGGCGATTCCGGATTATCGGTTTTTCCGGATTATAGATCATCAGTTTAAATCTGGTAAGATGGCATGCAGAAATTACAAAATTAAAAATATGAAACCGTAATTTATAAAATAAAGAGCAATTACGGTCTAAAGGGTATCAAAATTTACCAAAAAAAAGTTTAATATTTATTTGTTTACTTTATTAAACATTTTTTCAACGTGCGCATGCATAAAGCATACATTACACATAGTCAAAATTAGAAAATTGCAACTAGAAAACTATTTGATGTGTATTCGTGATATTTATAATGACGAGGAATTTGATTTAAATCTTATCAAAGGAGTACATCGAGATGAAATACTACATTTAGTAAGGAATTATAAGCTGAATAAAATAAAAAAATCTGCCCTGAAGATGAGCATAGTGCTGACATATCAACTTCCAGTTCATTGCGCCCCGCTACGTCTCCCCCCCCCCCCACAGAGCAGCGTGAAATTGATAAACAGATTTCAGAATGGTTTGAGAAACAAAGGATATGCCTTTATCCATTTTTGCTGCAATTACACTTTTTGTTTGATGGACATCGAAACATGCTTTCACTTTGTAGATCCTTTGGCAGTTCCAGAATCGGAAACTCTTTTTGACATAATCGAAAGTTCAAGCGTACTTTTATAAAATTGCTCTAACAGTCTGCAAAAAATAATAAGATGGATCCAATTAGCAGATTAAGAAAGAACGCAATCTGCAACATTAACTGAAGCAGATAATTAGATAATTTTAGCCTAGCTTATACCATCCGTTATACATTAAACGTGCATGTGTATACGTATTATGTGCATGCGTAAATGTAAACGCAGAAAGTTTGTAGCTTTGAGGTCCGGATTATAGATCATTCTGGATTATGGGCAACCTGATTAAAGTCTTAGTACTGTATATGTATATTCCTTGCATTTGATAAAAAGAACTGTACTCAGAGCCATTAAATTTTGAATAATGTAGTCCTCCACCTGAACATGTACATCTGGAAGCCCGGATTTTGAATTTCTAATTTGTTTGACTAATTATTTGATATTCTGTTAAACTTTAATGAATTTTTGCTTAAAAAACTCAACGACTTGAATGTGAGCAAGGGCAACACTTTGAAATAAAACGTTTTTATCTCCAGCATATGAGCCTATTGCCTTTCAGAAAAATGTAAGATACTTACCTTTCAGTTTTAGTAAACAAACTCCACTCTATGAAAGCAATGTGTTGCCAGGCCAGAAATAAAAATACTTTTATCTACAATGCACCATGTTGCCATTCAGTAAAGTCTAAGGTACTTTCAAACTTGTTCGGGAGCGTTACTGAATAATAAATTAAGTGAATGAAAAGCAGTAAACACAGTTCTTTAAAAAAAAATTTTTTTTACTTTTTAATGTGGTTTATTTAAATAAACATGCATTAAAATCATTAAATGTCTAATTAGAAATAGTCAATATTTTTATGAAATTATGCTAGACTCATTGAAATCATTATATATTTTTTCTTTTTTGTGATAACTGTTTTAAGCTGTGTGGCTAGTTTTAAAGAAATAATATGGTGAATATAAAAATGTGTATGCCAACTATTAACATTGTATTGAGAATTCTAAAGATATGATGTTTTTAAATATTTTGTGATTTTCTATTGAATTGAATTTTACATGGCATGAATGTGAAGAATGTATATTTGATAAAAAGTTAACATATGAAAAATTAATAATAAAAAGAAGAAAAAAAATCTTTGCTCGCCATGTTACTAAGAAAACTGAATATTGATAAGATTGAGAAAAGATTGAAAATATATATATATAAATGTATGCCAACACTTAACACTGTAAGAAAACAATGCTTAATAATCAAGCTAAAAAGACAAAATAAATAAATAAATAAAAGGGGAATTTGAAAGCCTTCATATTTTATATTATGCCCAAAAGGGCATTTTTTGAACGTTTTATGAACCTTTCTTCATTAAATATTGTTTTTTGAACCTTTCTTTATTAAATATCATGTTCTTCGCACTTAAACATATAAAATTCAGTTCAACAGCAATATCACAAAATATTTTTTCGAAATTGTAAGATAGCTTCCCCACAAGGAAGGTTAAGGGTTGCCAGAAAATGGCAAGGGAAGGCAGAGTTGCCAGATTTGACCCAAAATTGCCCGTTTGGTAACAAAATAGACAATATGCCATAGACAGATGGAGAACCTTCTAGAATGAATTCTTACCAGTTTGGCCTAGAATGTTCTTGAACACAGGCCAAAAGCTATGTAAACCTGTCT